TCATCTGACTCTGAAGTCTATCATCTTGCCCTGTACCACACTTCCGTAAGGAAAGTGTATTAGTTTTTTATGGCTGCATAACAAATTACCACGAACTTAGCAACTTCCAATAGTACCTATTTATCAGTTCACAGTTCTGTAAGTCAAAATTCTGACACAGCCTGACTGGTTTCTTAGCTCAGTGTTTCACAAATACGAAATCAAGGTATTGGCCAGCCTGCATTTTAATCTGGAGCTCAGGGTTCTCATCCAAGTTCATGTGATTATGACAGGATTCAGTTCCTTGCAGTTGTAGGATTAAGGCTCCCATTTCCTTTCTGGCTGCCATGCACAGGATGCTCTCAGCTCTTAGAGGCTGTTCTCCTTCCTTGGCATGTTGCTCCCTCCGCCTTCAAAGCCAGCAACAGAGAATCTTCCTTATGTTGAATCCCCCTGACTCCACAAATGTCTTTCCAGAAAGATCCCAGTCCCTTTTAAAAGTTCATCTGATTAGGCCAGGTCCAGCGAGGATTACCAACCTTAAAACTCCGTTGAATTATGACCTTAATTACATCTATCCAACACTTTCACAATCATGGGTGTTTGACTAAATAACTGGAAGAAGATGTGTGAGCAGCCAGGGATTAGGACTCCTGGGTACCATCTCAAAAGTCCACCTACCACAGAAAGTGATTCTTTTGTGCTCCAAATGTTATTGTGTTGTATGGAGAGGAGAAATATCCTTGACCTTAGAGAGTGTGAAGCAAGTTTTCTAAAACTTTGGGAACTTCACCTCACTTTGCCTTTTCCCAGACTATGGATGAGAAAGCCTTTGTCTTGAGGTGGCAAGGAATGAGGCTGGAACAGTACCTAAAGATCACAGTGGCTGTAGAAGCGGCACATAAATCACATCTACCTCTCCTTGGGGATGCACCATGGAACCTGAATTGAAAAATCTGTCTCCGGTGCTATAGAGACAGCCCTTGCAAGGGTCTAATGCCACCAGGCTGAAAAGTGAATTCTCCATAGTATCCAGGCATCAGGATCCAGACATCATGTCAGGTGCTCCAATCCCCTAAATAGCTGGTAGGGACAAGGAAGTAACTTGCCAGTGGCCTTTTGTTGTCACTGATCTGAGACTGAAAGACAGGAGAGAGATGCAAAGCAACTCAAACATCATTAGATTATCCACTTTTACTATCCCTTTTCTCCTGGCTTCTCAATTTAAGTAAACTAAAGGGTCTCTCCTATGACAGGAGCTGGCAGGCCTGTACTTCACATGAAAGAGTTAGAGCTGACTCTGGGGCTCAGGTGCAGGAGGAAGGAGGGGTGTGGGGGTAGCCTTCATGGAAGAAAACAAGGCCTTGGGCATTGAGTTACAGCTGAGACTAGCAAGCCTCATTGTCCAGCATTCCAAGTCGTCTAGCAACATGCTGGCCTCTGCTGCAGAAAGAGAACAGAGGATCCCCTGGCAGAATGAATGGAATCTGATTTCAATTACATCCAGTACAGTCACCCTCTTCAGGCAGAGAGGCCAGAACACCTGGTGCAGCTTGGGCCACTGTGGCTGCAGGGACAGCACATTACCCAGGTCCTAGACGCAAGTGGGAATGCAGCTGCTTTTCCTCAAACTGATACCATATAAGTCTAGAGGAGGAGGATGTGAAAATACCAGCCAAGTTCTCATTAGCACTATGCAGAAAATGGGAATTATTTCATGTTGATGGACTCTCCCCACAGTCTCTGCACATATTGATCTTGCCTGTAATGAGTTTGCTTAGGTCCACGAGTCATCACCCTGTTGAGATCTGAGTCACTGGTGGGAGAGTTGAGGTGACAGAGTGTACTTCACTGATTGCACTAGCACCAATTGCTTTGTCCCTGTTCCTTTTAGAAAAGTCCAAGGATTCATCTGTATAAAATTTATTTAGATTCTTTTCTTCTTTATCAATAGCATGAGTAGGGTATGACAAATGAGACAGCTGCCCCAGAGAACAGTCTAGATTCACAGCATTATTCCATAGAACTTTCTGAGATGATGGAAATGTCCTGTGTCTGTATTATTGAACACTTGAAATGTGGCTAGTGAGACTAAGGAATTATATTTTCATTTTCTTTAATTTTAACTAATTTCAGTTTAAGTAGCCGCATGTGGCTAGTAGCTACTGTTTTGGACAGTGCATATCTAGAAGGAGCTCAGAGAGGTAAGTACTGTGATAGAGTGGAAAACAACTAGTCAAAAAGAGAACCAATGTGACACAGGGAACCCTGTATTAGAAATAAAAGCCCTGGTTTTAGTCTTAGCTCTACCACTGAGTGACCTCACTCTTTCTGGCTTCAACCTCCCCAACTTCGAATTGAAAGGTTGGATTAATGTCAGAAGTGCCAAAATGGTAGCTAAGGACTGAATTTAACTTTGGAATACAGATGAGTTCCAGGAAAATCTTTTAAATATTACATGAATGCCTTCTAGGGTTGTATGTATGTGAATGTGCACATGCATGTGCATGGCAAGGGCAGGATGGCAGGTAGTCATTTACTCCAGGTCACCAGAGTTCCTCCCATTCTCCTACACATGCACATGCAAACGCACACATGCACACACCACTGCATTATCTATGTTTACCCTGAAGGTATATTGAATCTGTGACCTTTGGATGAGATGATTTCTTTTTTTTTTTTTAAAGATTTTATTTATTTATTTGTCAGGGACAGAGGGAGAGATAGTGAGCAAGCACAGGCAGTCAGAGAGGCAGGCAGAGGCAGAGGGAGAAGCAGGTTCCCCGCTGAGCAAGGAGCCTGATGCGGGACTCGATCCCAGGACACTGGGATCATGACCCGAGCCGAAGGCAGCCGCTTAACCAACTGAGCCACCCAGGCGTCCCTGGATGAGATGATTTCTAAAGACCCTTCCTACTCCATCATGCTGTGAATTTTTAGACCACTATAGTGCTCCAAACCTGTTTCTACTTTGGGCATATGACTAGAGGATTTTCATAGTTTCCTGCCTCTTGTCTTCTGATTTGATGCAGTTACTGAAGTTTGGAGTCAAGGGTGAGGATGGAAATCAGGGGGGATATAACCCCATCCCCACTCCTCAACTCTGCTGTTTGTCTAGAAGTAAGATTCAGGTCTTCAGAGAACTTGAGAGGCAACATGATGTAGTAGAAAGAGCATAGCTTTTGTAGTCAGCAGACCAGGTTCAGATTACTGGGTTTTCTTTCTTTAAAAAATAATTACTTATTCATTTGTTTGTTTGACAGAGAGCAAGAGAAAACACAAGCAGGGGAAGGGGCAGGCAGAGGCAGAAGGAGAAGCAGACACGTTGCTGAGCAGGGAGCCCAGTGCGGGTTTCGATCCCTGGACCCTGGGATGGCGCCAGTGCAGGGTCGATCCCAGGACCCTGGGATCATGACCTGAGCTGAAGGCAGATGTTTAACTGAATGAGCCACCCAGGCACCCTAGGATTCCATTTCTTGATAGCTGTGTTTCCTAAGTTTATTCACTTGTAAAATAGGGATAGGAAATATTCCTAATCTCCTAAAATCATTGTGGAATTAAATGACGTAATGTGTTCATAGACTGAGGCATGTAGAAGACCCTGAAAAAATAGTCACCCTCATTTTTCTTAGTTCCCTCAGGCATAGGGCTAGTTACATCTCTGTCCTCTTTCAGGTTGGAATGGGGGACTACATGGTCTGTCAGCTTCTGAGCTCAAGGCCAGAAACTGCTAATGTTGAGAAAGATGGGGTCTACCTTTAGATTCTGTACCAAAGGAACAGACCCAGTATGCACGGCCAGTCTGTGGAGCTGGCTACAAGAACACATGTCAGCCATGGGTTCACCAGATGGCAAGACATATTGAGGGCCAGGCCTCTATATCTGGGAGAAGATGGGCCCATACCTTCCATCCTGTGCCTTTGGTGGGAGGTGGGAGGTGGGAGTTGACTGTGTATGTGTGCGTATCTCCTGTCATCTTGCACTCTGGGTTGATTTTCCAGTCTCCCCTGTTATTTTACCCTGAGTACTCTGTGCTCCTCTTACACGACCAACCCCACCATTTTCTCCTTCTCTATCCTGGTTGTTGATCTAAATGTGTGGTCCATTCTTGCATTGACTTACCGAGTTGCACTATGACTGGAGTTTGCAGGACTTATTTTTCTAATTAAAGCTGAAAATCAGTTCCAGGTAAGTATTTCTTCTATAGGATCCAGAAATACATCAGCGACAGGTTTTTTTGTATATATCCATTTAAATTGAGCAATCAACTTATCTCTTTGGTTTATTTTTATTTATTATTATATAAAGGGATTAGAGATAAAATGGTTTATGGTTCTCCCCAGTGCAACTGCCTATGCTAGGCCTCAAAGTTACGACCTCCTCAGTTATGTCTATTTATGCCAATATAAATGCTAGTAAACATCAGGATGCTCATGTACCTCTAAATTGTGTGTGTGCAAGCATGGGGGGAGGGTGATTTTTAAGGTTTAAGTTTGGAATTCATGTTGTTTTAAAAGAAGCTATTTCTATCATCCTTTCTGATGGCTGCCTCTTAGTTTGGGTCCCATTTTTCCAGTCAGGGATATTCTGTTACTCTTTTGATAATATTGGGGATTTCAGCCCTTTAGCTTCTCAATCTTCTATTTGTTAAAGAAAAAAAAGTCAGTATGTGTGTTACAGTGTATGTTCAACTATGGGCATAGTGTTTTACAATATCTTAAGCTGTATAGTGTTCAGTAGAAAATGCTGTAACACCAGAAAATTCCCATTTATTGAACCCAAAAATGGGATTGAGGAGAAAGCAAGATATGAAAGTTTGGGCTTAGTAGGGATTTGGAATGATAAATCATTCATTCAACCAGTGTTTAAACTGAGCACTTGTCCTTAAGGAGTTTAGATTCTGTGACCAGGGAGAATGAATATCCCTATTTTCTTAGCTTGGGCAATTTTTCTAACGGGGTAGCTGAGTGGTGTGTTTGGCCATTGAAAGCAACTCCAAGTTTTCCTTTCCTTCCCTATAGCCCGGAAGCTGAAGAAACTTGGTAATCTGAAACTACAAGAGGAAGGGGAGACTTCCAGTGCCACCAGTCCCACTGAGGAGCCAACCCAGAAGTTGACAGTGTCACATATTGAAGGCTATGAGTGTCAGCCCATCTTTCTGAATGTCCTTGAAGCCATTGAGCCGGGCGTGGTGTGTGCTGGACATGACAACAACCAGCCTGACTCCTTCGCAGCCTTGCTTTCTAGCCTTAATGAATTGGGTGAAAGACAGCTTGTACATGTGGTCAAGTGGGCCAAGGCCTTGCCTGGTAAGGAAATGGGAAGTGGGGGCATGGGATAAGGGAGATCATATTTAGCAAATTGCTCCTATGGGCCTGCACCATGTCTTAACTCATGCAGTCCTCATAACCCGATGGAGGGGAGAGGTTGGTATAATTCCCACTTGAAAAATAAGGAAACTCCTAAATCAAGGAGAAGAGCAGCATGATAGAGTATCCTGTGTTTCTCACATCTGCACATTATGGTCATGTTTGCCTGTTCCACCTACAGACATAGTCAACAAATTTCCCCATAATCACAGATCACATGGAAATACCCTTGTATGCCTAAGGTACTCTTCTACATGCGCACACACAGGCTTACCCACAGAGATAGTCTTGAGCTTGACTGAAAATCGGTCTTCGGAAGCCTTATAATACAGTATGGTAGAAGGAAAGAGTTGGGAGTCAGAACGCTTCAGTTCTAGTCTTAGCTGTGCTGGTAACTCATTGTGTGAACCCTTCCCATTCTGGGTCTATACTGTGTGAGAAGTAGTTTGGACTAAATTGATGGTTGTCAAATTTTGCTTCAAGAAACACTTACTGTTCTTTAAACTGCATTGGGAATTATAGTAGGAGGTAATGTTAGGTGATAATGAAAGAAATACAAAGTGTTTGTCTAACTTCTGTTTGGTTACCACCAGTGACAGGGAAATCATTCTCTCCCTAGGCCATCTGCTGTTTGAGCTGGTCTGATTATTAGCATATTAGAGCTTAAAGAAGCCTCAGAGCTCCTCTATCCAAGAATTCACAACTTTTCTTTAGCAGCCCAACTCTTTAATTCTTAAAAAACATTGTATACAGATCCAAGTGGAGCTGGTTGATTTAAAGCCAGTGCCTCTCCCTCACTACCCTGAGAGAAGCTTCGGGTCACTCTTACAGAATCTTAGGGCTCCAAGGAGCACAGTTTGGAAACAAGTGAACCATAAACTCTTTAAGGGTTGTCTTAATCCTAAAATTCGATGACTCAAAGATTATTTTGAAATATCAACAACCTAAACCTGTTATGGAGTCAAAGATTAACCTGCCTTCTAAGAATAACTGCCATTCAGATGGAAATTTATAGTGAACAGAGCAGTTTCATTTGTATTACCTGATTTGATCTTCATAACAGTCTTATAAACCAGGGATTCTTTTTCTAATTAACAGATTAAAAACATTAAAGCTCTAAGCAGTCATGCGCTTGGCCTACAGTTACACAGTCTGAAAGTTGCAGGGCTGGAACTCAAGCCCAGGTCCCTTCCTAATCCCAAATGCCCTCCTCTTTCCACTCTACCCCTAGTCTCTGTGATACCCCTGTAGTTCTGGAGCCCTGGGATTTACAGTGAAGGACCAAAACCTCATCCAAGCCCATCTGGGTCATAATATGATCTCGTTGCCTTCAAAGACATTGCATGTTGGCTGTCAAGCCTCTGTTTTGCCTTTCTAACTCACAAGGCCCAGTTATAGCCACCAGACTATCCTAACACCTTCCTCACTTGAGAAGCCGAGGTTGACTAGCCAATAAGATCACTGGGAAAAAGACCTAAGGACTCTGGTTGTGTATGCAATGTGACAAAACAGAGGATTCACAAAGGGAGAAAAGAAATACAAAAAAGAATAAAAAAGGAAATTTGTTTGTATTCTTATTACTTATTTGGCCGGATGTCTTGAGGTCCTTTGCGTAACAGAGAATCAGCTTAATCTTTCCTACCTGTTGCCAACCACTTAAATTATCCTATTTATGGGATAGAGAACCTTTTCAAAGATGTGATTCCACTTAATCCTCACAGCAGTCCTGTTAATCAGAGAAGTTATTACTTCCATTTCAAATGACAAGGCTCAGAGAGGTTGACTAACTTGTTCCATTTGGTCACTTAACAGATGGAGCCAGAACTGGGGCTTACATTGTCTGATTTCTAATTTGGTGGTCTTAACAACAATCTAGTGCAAATCATTATAGCAGAATTTATATGACCTAGAGTCACTGGCTTTCCTCAGCTCAACCTCCAGAATGGGAAACCTCCTCTTTAGGTTAACAAGTCTGCAAGTCAGTATCAGTCCACCATCTAGCTCAACCAAGGAGATGATCTTTGACCCTGGGTCATTTAAAATAGTATTCTCAAAAGAAAGCCAATTGCCACATTCAGAAGAACTGTTACTCATATTATCAGTAATTATCTACTAGTTCAAGTTATTTGCTGACTAAACAGATTGAGTTCCTATCTTGTGTAAGCCACTGTGCTAAGCATCTACACAAATTCTGTTGTCAGTTTTCTGTGATGGTGATGATATATGTAAATCACCTAGAATAGTACCTGGACATTAATAAATAAAAACTATCAATTAATTGAGAGTAGGTGAGTAGATTGTTCACAAGTACATTTATAATCAGATGTTTCTGGTTTGGAATCTTAACTATACACTAGTTGTGTGACCTTGAGTAAATCATGTGTCTACATGTGCTTCTGTTTTTTCATTGGTAGAGGGGGTAGAACAATCACTAACTTGCTAAGTGTAAGTAACATGGAGCTTATGTAGAAAGAGAATATGTCATTATTATGAGGCTTTCACTAAAATCAATTCAAGCTGCCATCAGCCTTACCTAGAAGTTCATGCATGGGTCCCAAAGATGCTTTATCTTGTGTGAAGACTTTAGCTGTCAGATGTACTATAGTAGTAAAGATTTCCCAACTGGCCTTTCTTTGAACACATTCTTCCAGACTAGATAGGGGACAACAGACTAGATAGGTTTCCATTGCCGATTGCTGAGAAATTATAATTGACTGAATTTTATTGAGAAAACAGAATCCCAGTGACACTTTCTCTGCTTCCTAACCTGTTGGGTATGTTTCAGAACCTGACAATGACTCCTCTCAATTTCTCCAGAATAGCCTAACACAGTAGAAAATAGGTGTTAAGTGAAGGTATGCTGAAGGAAATCTGTAGGCTGGAGCTACTCTTTCTTCAAGTCATCTCTTACTTAATAGTCATGCTATCTGAGCAGACAACTAACTCCAAAGGCTGGGCATTAAAAAACAGTGTAGTATTGTGATCATATTAGATCTATAGGAAAATTAGCCTGCTATGTTGCTGATATATACACAGTAATCAGGACTGAGTGCTAAGCAGGCCTCACTAAGGACCACTAGTATTATTATAATTACTATTACAGCCAAACTAAGCTTTCCTGTTTTTCTCTTCTTTTTTAGTTCTCTGGCCTCTCAGGGAAGGAAAAACACATCAGTATTAATGGCTTCCTTGGTACTTGTATAGTTTAATCCTCATTCCACCTAGGTACCCTCATATTCACATGCCAAGCGGCCAAGTCTTTCCTTGCTTCCGCTACAGAGGTTCAGGGTTCAAGCTCCCAGGTCCTTTCTCCAAGATGTGTTGCATAATTGGTCCCTGCTTTTTGTGTCCTACTAGGAAGAGTTAGTACCAGGAGTTCTGTGCTGCAGAATGACTTCTGGCTGGAAATACTCTGGAGTCTGAGACTTCAGCTAGTTTGTCAACATGTCACTACAGTGAAGACGGGAGGCACAGGCCTGGGAGCTAAGACTGCAGCCAGTCCATTGAGCTGCAGTGGTGGTGATCTGGGGACTCTACAGTCTTTGTTGTCTAGTAGGCTTGGGACCTTAAAGAAAAGGGAAATTGGCTTTTTGTGTTGGCAAGGACCAACCAAACAGAACAATGTGTCTCTATAGTGTAGACTTCAGACCTGGGCCTGTGGCTAAGAAACACTCATGACCTTGGTAGTTCTTGAGCTGTGTCCTTCAGCAGTAGAAGGCAAAAAGCACTGAGGTAGAGAATCAGAGCACCTAGGTTCTAGTCCCAATTCAGGCACATATAGACTGTATGACCTTGGGGAAGTCAGTTAACTTGTCTAGCCCTCAGATTCTTTGTTGGCAAAATGAGTGTCACATTGTCTACCCTCTAGGGTTATTGTGAGAGTTAAGTCAGGTCATCAACCAGAAAGCTATAAGCTTTATCTATATTCATGGTAGCATTCTTAATGAGGTATAGCAAAACAAACAGATAATTCTGGATCTTTTGGGGAAAAGAGAAATAGGGTACTGGTAGGAGATGAGCTCTGAGGTGATTCTCTAAACATCCAACTGTCTCGAAACTTCCAGAAGAATATAGGTACATCTGTTCTACCTTGTGGTATTCTGGAAGTAGCATTTAGGAACCTCCTTTCTCTGAGACTAAGGGAGATAATTTGGAGATCATCTAATTCCCATTTTATAAAATGAAAAAAATGTTCATTATTCCATTTAATTACTATCACATTAATAAATATAATATTAAATTAATATTTCAAAGATGTGTACTTAAGTATCTGAACTGTGCTACGTACTAGCGAGGAAAAGATGAAACAAAAGATGGTCCCTGTCTTCAGGAATCGACTCATGGAGGAGACATATGTGTACATAAGTAAACTCTAGTACTGTGTAATGAGTGCTATGATTGAGTAGGGGTACACAAAGTTCAGTAAGAAGGTAAAAGAAGAATCTTTTCTTCTGTGTAGGTGAGTTGGAAAAGCCTTCACAGAGGAAGTAGCTTTCACTGAAGATTTGAAAGATGAGTAGATATTTATCAGATGGAACCCCTGGGGATGGAGGAATACATTCTAGGCAAAGTCAACTGCCTGTGCAGAGATAGCAGAGCTATAGAGGCATGAGAAAGTATGGTGTGTTCAGCAAACTAAACATTTCAGAATAACTAGAACCTAAATTACAAGTGACAAGAAATTAGTCTAAGGAGACAGGTCATAAGGAACTTGTTTGTGCATAATAATGGCAGTAGGGCAGGAATGACAGGGTAGGAAACTAGCAGAGCCAGGCTTTGGAATGTGGTCTGCCAATTATTAGCCTTATGATCGTAGACAAGTTTCTTGATCTTTCTCTAATTCTCTTTTACTAATTCACAGAATGGGTTTACTAGTAGTACCTACTTTACTGGATCATTGTGAAGATTAAGTGAGTTAATATAAGTAACATACTTCTATAAGAGTTCATTCATCGTAAGCAGCCAGTGTTAGATGATTATTCTCTTCCAAATGACAGTACAATTTTTTGCCTCCATCATCATCTCATTTGAGTAGCTTAGTGAGGTAGGGTGAGCAAGGAATATTATCCCCACCACACAGTTTGTTTTTCCCCTGCTCCTCAGCATTAATGGTCCCTGGGTCTCCTCAGGAGCTGCCTAAGTGCCAGTGGTTCTCAGCCCAGTAGAGGGCCAGTCCTTCATTCAGCCCATCAATGCTCAGTCTGACCACTGCCTCTGCCCCATCTTCAGGCTTCCGCAACTTGCATGTGGATGACCAGATGGCAGTCATTCAGTACTCCTGGATGGGGCTTATGGTGTTTGCCATGGGCTGGCGGTCCTTCACCAATGTCAACTCCAGGATGCTCTACTTCGCCCCTGACCTGGTCTTCAATGAGTAAGTGTTCATGGGCCCAGAATTCACATAAAACATAACATCCTGGCCAGACCTGGTTGGTGGTGATGATGGTAATGGGAGTAACAGTGGCAGGGGAAAGGGGAGTAGGCCATTTGACCTGTATGTGAGGCAGTAGAGGCTTCAGTCAGCCTTCCTAACCTGATGTGGCTTTGCCCTGCCGAAAGGCCACCTGGTGGAAAGCAGTGGGGGTGGGGGTGCTGGCCATTCCTTTCCCACCCAAGACCTAGTATTTTGGCCATGTTTCTGACCTGCCCTGGAGATTATCTCAACCTCATGTCGTGGACCCTCTTCTTCACATTGAGCAACACAGGGAATGGACAAAAAGACTAGCTGTGAAATCTGAAGTTGCTGTGGTCCCTTTGCCACCACTGAGGGCTATTGCCAGTCACCATTCTTTGAGAAGTTCTTCTGTGCTAGGACTATATTAGATACTTCCTATACCTCTTCTCATTGAGCCCTCATGATAACCTGATCTCCCCTTTTTATAGATAATATTTTTTAATGGATGGGGAAAATGAGGCTCAACAAAATAAACAAAATAAAGTGGCTCACTGAAGGCATATTGCTGACAGAATTCAAAGTAGGTCTGCATAACTCTTAGCTCTTATACTGCCTTATGGGGTTAAATGACGGGGAAGAGCAGCTCTACCACTCTCTGGCCGTGTGACGTTGGCCCAGCCACTCCCCTTCTCTTTAAAAACAGGTTTAAGTGAAACCTTAGTGGCTCAGTTGGTTAAGCATTTAATTCGTGGTTTTGGCTCAGGTTGTGATCTTGGGGTTGTGACACCTAGCCCTGCATGGGGCTCCACGATCAACAGGGAATCTGGTTTCCCTCTCCCTCTGCCCCTCCCCCCACTTGTGCTGTCTGTCCCTCTCTCAAATAAATTAATACATCTTAAAAGAAAAAGCCCATATGTCTATTGATAGATGAATGGATAAAGAAGATGTAGTATGTATATATACAATGGAACATTACTCAGCCATCAAAAAGAGTGAAATCTTACCATTTGCAAATATGTGCATGGATGGAACTGGAGGGTATTATGCTAAGCAAAATGAGTCAATTAGAGAAAGACAATTATTATATTATTTCACTCATACGTGGAATTTAATAAAAAAAAGCAGAAGATCATAGGGGGAGGAAAGGAAAAATAAGATGAAATCAGAGAGGGAGATAAACCGTAAGAGACTCTTAACTACAGGAACAAACTAAGGGTTCCTGGAGGGGAGGTAGGTGGGAGATGGGGCAACTGGGTGATGGTCATTTAAAAAGAGCACTTGGGGGCCCCTGGGTGGCTCAGTGGGTTCAAGCCTCTGCCTTCAGCTCAGGTCATGATCCCAGGGTCCTGGGATCAAGCCCCACATTGGGCTCTCTGTTCAGCAGGAAGCCTGCTTTCTCCTCTCTCTCTGCCTGCCTCTCTGCCTACTTGTGATCTCTGTCTGTCAAATAAATAAATAAAATCTTTAAAAAAGAAAAAAATAGGGGAAGAGTCAAGATGGCGGAGAAGTAGCAGGCTGAGACTACATCAGGTAGCAGGAGATCAGCTAGATAGCTTATCTCAAGATTGCAAACACCTACAAATCCAAGGGGAGATGGAAGAGAGAAAGAACAGCAATTCTAGAAACAGAAAATCAACCACTTTCTGAAATATAGGACTGGTGGAGAAGTGAATCCAAAGCGATGGGAAGATAGACCGCGGGGGGGGAGGGGCCGGCTCCCAGCAAGTGGCGGAGCAACAGAGCACTAAATCAGGACTTTTAAAAGTCTGTTCCGCTGAGGGATATCGCTCCAGAGGCTACACCAGGGTGAAGCCCACACGGGGTCAGCGTGGCCTCAGGTCCCACAGGGTCACAGAAGGATCAGGGGTCTCTGAGTATCGCAGAGCTTGGAGGTATTAGAACGGGGAAGCCGGCTACAGAGACAGAGCCGAGGAGTGAGCTCTCAGCTTGGGGTTACCTTGAACTGGTCGCAGGCTCTGTGAGCTCAGAGTGCGGCCGGAGGCCAGGGAGACGGGAATAATTGGGCGCTATTCTCTGAGGGCGCACTGAGGAGTGGGGCCCCGAGCTCTCCGCTCCTCTGGGCCAGAGACTAGGAGGCCGCCATTTTCATTCCTGTCCTCCGGAACTCTACGGAAAGCATGCAGGGAACAAAAGCTCCTGAAAGCAAACCCGAGCTGATTATTTAGCACCGCCCCTGGTAAGGGCGGTGCAATTCCGCCGGGGGCAAAGACACTTGAGAATCAATACAATAGGCCCCTCCTCCAGAAGATCAACAAGAAATCCACCCAGGACTGAGTTCACCTACCAAGGAGTGCAGGTCCAATACCAAGGAGAGCAGCGGAATTCCAGAGGAGGAGAAAGCAAAGCACGGAACTCATGGCATTCTCCCCATGATTCTTTAGTCTTGCAGTTAATTTAATTTTTTTTCAATTTTTTTTTCTTCTTCTGCTAAATATTTTTTAACTTTTACCCTTTTCTTTTTTAACGTTTTTTAACTAGTTTATCTCAT